GGCTCGGCTGCGGGGCGGCTCGGCTGCTGGGCGGCTCGGCTGCTCGGCGGCTCGGCGGCTGGGCGGCTCGGCTGCACGGCGGCTCGGCTGGTGGGGGGGCCGGGCGGCTTGGCGGCAGGGTGGCTCGGCTCCTTTGGTACAGGGCGGCGCGGCGGTCTGCGGCTCGGGCGCGTTGCTGCAGGAGGGGAGAGCGGCGGGGCCGCAGCAGACGGGCGGCGGGACCCGTTGACGTAGGGCAGCGGGGCCGGTGAAGTAGGGCGGCGGGGCCCTTGAAGTAGGGCGGCGGGGCCCTTGAAGTAGGGCGGCGGGGCCGCAGGTGTAGGGCGGCGGGGCCGCAGCAGACGGGCGGCGGGGCCGCAGACGTAGGGCGGCGGGGCCGCTGAAGTAGGGCGGCGGGGCCCGTTGAAGTAGGGCGGCGGGGCCGCAAAGTGGGGCGGCGGGGCCGCGAAGTGGGGCGGCGGGGCCGCAGCAGACGGGCGGCGGGGCCGCTGAAGAAGGGCGGCGGGGCCGCGAAGTGGGGCGGCGGATCCGCAGCAGACGGGCGGCGGGGGCCGCTGAAGCAGGGCGGCGGGGCCGCGAAGTGGGGCTGCGGGGCCGCGAAGTGGGGCGGCGGGGCCGCTGAACAGGGCGGCGGGGCCGCGACGTAGAGCGGCGGGGCCGCGAAGTAGGGCGGCGGGGCCACAGGAGTAGGGCGGCGAGGCCGCAGTTAGGGCGGCGGGGTCGCGACGTAGGGCGGCGGGGTCGCGACGTAGGGCGGCGGGGCCGCGAATGCGGGTGGCGGGGCCACGCTAGTAGGTGGTGGGGCCGCACGAACGGGTGACGAGGCCGCTAAGGTAGAGAGGGCCGCCAGGGCATAGGGGCCGCTAGGGCAGCTCGACGAGGTGAGAGCGCGACTTGGGCGGAGCGCGCTTTGGGCAGGAAAAAAAATCGAAATTTGGTGGGCCCTAGGCACAGTTCCCACAGGGGAACCTGCTCGATACCATGAGAAAATGAGAACGAGAATGAATGAACTCTGAAACAGTTGGGTACAAGTACTAACCCTAATTGGGTTGTACCCCATATGGGCTACCCCACTACAGCCTACACTAAAGCATAAGCTATAATGTTCTGACACAGCGACTGTGGGAAAGACAGCAAGGTCAGGGAAGAGGTACGGTAGCATGAGGCGGCTCAGTGCAGCAGTGGCAGGGGAAGAGTAGCGCGCAACTACAGCGTCGTACAAGGTCTGAGCACTCTTGTACTGACTAAAGTGCGCGCGCTCAGTGGTAGGCAGGTGGCGACGCACAGCAAGACGTGCAGCAGCATCGCGCGTGGCCCACTGGGAGCGAACAGTGAGGTCAGCAACAGCAGCAGGGGCAGGAGAGGCGCCAGAGGTGAGGTCAAAGAGAGAGAGACCGTCTGCCCTATCGCACTGTAAGAACAGCTTCAGGTCGTCGACCCAGACCTCAAAGTCAATGGCTCGACCCTCAGCGTCAAACGCGAGGACACTAGGGGTAGCTATGACAACAGTAGACTAGCAGTACCAAGTGTAGGACAGGGGCAGTGCAGTGACGGAAGCGCTTCTCTCACCAGACAGGGCGGTTCGGGCAGCTCAGTAGCACAGCAACACGGCAACACGGCTGCTCGGACGGCTCAGCAGCAACTGCGGCTCCGCGGCACCAGCGGCTCGGCCCCTCAGGTGGCTCGGGCGGCTCGGGCGGCTCGGGCGGGTCGGGCGGCTCGGCTCCTCAGCGGCTCAGGCGGCTCGGGCGGCTCGGGCAGGTCGGGCAGCTCGGGCGGCTCGGGCGGCTCGGCCCCTCAGGTGGCTCGGGCGGCTCGGGCGGCTCGGGCGGGTCGGGCGGCTCGGCTCCTCAGCGGCTCAGGCGGCTCGGGCGGCTCGGGCAGGTCGGGCAGCTCGGGCGGCTTGGGCGGCTCGGCTCCTCAGCGGCTCAGGCGGCTCGGGCGGCTCGGGCGGCTCGGGCGACTCGGGCGGCTCGGGCGGCGCGGGCGGTGTAGGGCGGTAGGGCCGCTGGTAGGGCGGCGGGGCCCCAAGGTAGGTGGCGGGGCCGAAGTGGGAGGGGTGGCGGGGCCGGAGTGAAGGGCGGCGGGGCCGCCGTGAAGGGCGGCGGGGCCGCTGAGAAGGGCGGCGGGGCCGTAGTGAGAGAGGCGGCGGGGCCGCAGAGAAGGGCGGCGGGGCCGCTGAGAAGGGCGGCGGGGCCGCAGCGAGAGAGGCGGCGGGGCCGCAGCAAAGGGCGGCGGGGCCGCTGAGACGGGCGGCAGGGCCGCAGTGAAGGGCGGCAGGGCCGCAGTGAAGGGCGGCGGGGCCGCAGTGAAGGGCTGCGGGGCCGCAGCGAAGGGCGGCGGAGCCGCAGCGAAGGGCGGCGGGGCCGCAGCGAAGGGCGGCGAGGCCGAATCGACGGGCTGCGGGGCCGCTAGGGCGTTGGGGCCGCTAGGGCGGCTCGACGAAGTGAGAGCCCGGAGCGCGACTCGGGCTGAGCGCGCTTCGGGCAGGAAAAAAAAAACTCGATGTGGTGGGCCCTAGGCATAGTTCCCACGGGGGAACCTGCTCGATACCATGAGGAAATTAGAACGAGAATGAATGACTATGGAATGAAAGTGATACAAATATGCAACCCTAGAAATGTGTACCCCATATGGGCTACCCCACTAAAGCCTAGACAACATTATAATTTGACAGGCTTCGCGAGGCTCCCGCGGGCTTGGTGTGGCCCTGTTCCTCTCCATGTCAGGCATTGATTGAGCGGCGCCATCACTGGCTGCGCCTGAGCGCTGTCCCACGCTGTCGCTTTGTGTTGGTGTGCCTGATGAGATGACGATCGGCTCCTTCGACTGTGCGGGTGCATTTGCAGGTGTGTGTGGTGGTGCTGGAGCTTCACCGTGGATTGTTGACGAGCAGAGTCGCGTTCCGCTTTGAGTGTAGCAATTTCGATCACCGAATCTTCGATTTGGCGCACGATACGGTTGAGTTGCTCCTGCGTCAGTGTCGCGAGAGTGAATTCGGCCATGGCGGGGGTGTCGGGCAAGCTCATCGAGAGCCTCTGTCGTGGGCGTGCGTGCTTACGAGAGAGCACTTCGAACGGCAGTGCTTATTTCGCTGAAAGACGTCTACCCCCTCCAAAGGTGTGGGTGCGGTTCGAGAAGAGATCGTAGGCTCTGAATACCAAGTATTACGAGTGCAATTGAGTGAGCGAGCGAGAATTGCACTATCGAAGCAAGAATACTATGAGTGAAGGCATGAGCGAATAATATATAGTGAATCTACAGTGGTAACGGTAATGTGTGGAAAATCGGGTGCGCGACGGGCCTAGCGCCGAGGTCGGGAATTGTCGAGGCGGAGGTCCGGAGCGCGGATTACCAACCGAACCGTGAGGTTGGGTCGCGTCGTGAACATTGGCAGGAATAGTGTCGAGGCGAGTGTCGCGAGTGGTAACGGATTACTGTTGGGTGCTGTTGGCGGGAACAGTGGTGTACACGCTGAGTAGGGACGCGAAGTAAGGAAAATGAATATTCCTTACATTCTGACGCATTGGGCGGGTTCAGAACAGGGCTGACGTTTCAAATTTAGGTACCCTGAGTTCAACCAAAAAAAAAAAAAACCCTGAAGGCACATTTTCCAGAAAAACAGCACCCTGATTGCTCAGGGTTGAGAAGTAGTGAACTCTGAATGTTCAGGGTCGAGAATTGAAAATCAGGGTCGTAGTAACGCGCTCTTTCTTTACCGGGAACTGAAGTCTCACTCAATCAGAAGTCTCATTCTTTACCCTAATCGCAACATCTGCTCGAAATTTGACAGTCTACGGGGATTTCAGGCAGAATCTGCCTTGACCTAGCGCAAAAGGGATTTCTATACGGAGCAGAGGTCGAATCTGCTGTTGGTGTCGCAAGGGTGACTGTGACTGGCGCTGTGACTGGCGCGCTGTGACTTGCGATGTGACTGGCAATGTGTCTGGCAATGTGGCGATGTGACTGGCACTGTGGCGATGTGACTCGCGATGTGACTGGCGCTGTGTCAGAACACAACTATTTCAACCAAGGCTGCGTTCTGTGGGCGCATCAGCCCGCATCAATGTACATTGATGCATTTTACCACGGTTCCAAGATACTTTCGTGATAACTGTCAAACATTATATATATTGTTGTAGTTGTTTAGGCTACAGTGGGTTAGCCTATAGGGGGTGGGGGTACACACTTCTAGGTTTCCATATTTGTACTCATTTCATCCTTAGTCATTTCATTCCTTGTTCAACATGGTAGAGAGCAGGTCCTTCCTAGGACCGTTTTTCCTAAGGGCCCACCACTACCTACCTGCCTATCTGCCTACCTGCCCTAGGGCGCCTCGACGTTCACGCCTCTAGAGGCCCTGTAGGCCCCGCGCTGGTGCACCTAGAGGCCCCGAATCGGCCCCGCGCCTAACCCTAACGGCCCGCGTCGGCCCCGAGCTCGTCCCCTAGAGGCCCGCGTCGGCCCCGCGCCTACCCTAGAGGCCCGCGTCGGCCCCGAGCCTACCCCTAGAGGCCCGCGACGGCCCCGTCCTTACCCCTAGAGGCCCGCGACGGCCCTGTCCCTACCCCTAGAGGCCCGCGACGGCCCCGATCCTACCCCTAGAGGCCCGCGTTGGCCCCCGATCCTACCCCTAGAGGCCCGCGTCGGCCCCCGTCCCTACCCCTAGAGGCCCGCGTCGGCCCCGTCCCTACCCCTTACAGCCCGCGTCGGCCCCGATCCTACCCCTTTCGGCCCGCATCGGCCCCTTAGCCGCCTTGAACGGCCCCACCTAGACCGCGCCGCCCGCACCGAACAGCCCGGCCCTAACGGAACCGAGCCGCCCGAACCGAGCCGCCCGACCCGAGCCGCGCCGCCCGACCCGAGCCGCCCGAACCGAGCCGCGCCGCCCGACCCGAGCCGCGCCGCCCTACCTATACCGAGCCGCGCCGCCCTACCTGTACCGAGCCGCGCCGCCCTACCTACCTACTACTCCTACTGCTTTTACTACTGCTGCTACCATGGCTAGCCCTCTAGTGCTAGCCTTCGATGCTGAGGGGCGCCCAGTGAAGTTCGACACCTGGCTTGATGACCTACACCTCTTCCTACAGCTCACTGCCAAGGAAGACATCTCGCTGTACGATCACGCCCTAGGCCACGCTACTGCTCCTGCTGCTACTGCCGACAGCACTGCTCGCTCACAGTGGCAGACTCGTGACGCCCATGCTCGCTTTGCTATCCGCAACTCTCTGCCGATAGATGAGCGCGAGCACTTTGGGCAGCACAAGACTGCACAGGCACTGTACACTGCTGTCGTTGCCCGCTACTCCTCACCGGCCTCTGCTGCTCTAGGCCGTCTCTCTCTTCCCTACCAGTTCCCCGACTTAGCTTCCTTTCACACTGTCGCTGACCTCATTACCCACCTCCGCACTAGTGAGGCTCGCTTCCGCGCCGCTATGCCTGATGAGTTCCTCGCCACGAACCCACCCCCGCTCTGGATCACTCTCTACCACCTAGTCACGCGCCTCCCTGACTCGCTGCGCTCAGTCAGGGACCACTTCCTCGTTCGCTGCCCCACCGAGCTCATCATTGCCCTCCTCGAGAAGGAACTCCTTGCAGCCGAGACTAGCATAGTCGCTGTAGGTGCCTCTCGCGGTGACCCCCGCACCCCGTTCTTTGAGGGGTGTTCTCCTTCCCCCCTTCTTCCCTCTGTCGCCTCTGCTGCTGCTGTCGACCTCCTTGGTGCTGAGAAGGTCGGGACTGCGTCTGCTTCGGGCGAACGCCGCAGCGGCAAGGGCAAGGGGGGCAAGGGCGGTGGTGGTGACAGCGGAAGTGGCGGTGGTGGGGGAGGTGGTGGCGGGGGGAGTGGCGCGGGTGGGGGAGGTGGCAGCGGTGGTGGGGGTGGCGGCCGCGGCGGGGGAGGTGGCCGGGGCGGAGGAGGTAGTGGGGCTGGCGGTGGACGAGGCGGCGGCAGGGGTTGGGGTGGTCGAGGAGGTGGTGGTGGGAGTGGTGGGCGTGGCGGCACTGGCGGTGGCCAGGGAGAGCAGCACACTCCCTCGCCCCAAGAGGTCCGTGAGTGGTACTCTCAGCACGGGGGGGGGGGGGGTGGCCTTAGCTGCACGTACGTCATTCGCACTGGTGACCGCACTAGCCAGCCGTGTGGGGGACCGCACGCCACACAGCGTTGCTTCGCTCGTCTGAGCGACGCTTGGCGTGTTCAGTTCCCTCAGGCCACTGAGCTGCCCCGCTGGCTTGATCTCCTGAAGAAGGGGATTGATATCTATGCTCTAGATTTTGATGCTATTCTCTCTGCAATGTATGTGATGTCTACTAGTGGAGAGGGTTCTGAGTACCTGAGTGTCCCGCCCGACCCGGGCATTAGGACGAGTGCGTCTGCTGCTCCAGGTACCCACGTGTCTGCTACCCCAGGTGCTGGTGAGGCTGCTGCTCTAGGTGCGTGCGTGTCTGCCCCCCCTGGTACTGTGTCGACTGCAGCACTGCACACCTTCACGCTGGATTCAGGTGCCTCTCGCTGTTTCTTTCGTGACCTCACTGCCCTTGAGCCCCTTGCTCGGCCAGTTGCTGTCTCCCTTGCTGACCCCTCTGGGGGTCCGGTCATTGCGACCTCCTCCACTGTCCTTCCCTGCCCTGCGGTCCCGTCGGGCACACTGTCAGGTCTCCACCTCCCCTCGTTCTCCACGAACTTGGTGGCAGGATGTGCACTCCAGGATGGGGGTGTTCACCAGTTCACCCCTGCCTACGAGCGTGTGACACACTGCACGTGTGCTCGTACGGGCCGCCACTTGGCTACCTTCACCCGGCAGCCGGGGTCGGACCTGTACACACTGACTACTGCCTCCCCTCAGGTCGCTGCGTCTGCGTCTGCGTTTGCGTCCGCGTCAGGTCAGCTGTCTGCCCCCTGCTCGTGTCGCTCTCTAGCGCACGAGACTGTCCTCTGGCACCACCGACTTGGCCACCCGTCTGTGCAGCGCCTTCGTGCCATGCACTCCCGGTACCTTGTCTCTGGTCTTCCCAGGGTTCTCCCTCCTCTCCCACCCTCGCCTGCTCCTCCCTGCCTTCCCTGTGTCGAGGGGCGGCAGCGCGCCGCTCCTCACTCCTCCTCTTTTCCCCCGACGACTGCTCCTTTGCAGACACTCCACATGGACGTGTGGGGCCCAGCCCGCGTCCGTGGTCAGGGTCAGGAGAGGTACTTCCTGATCGTTGTTGACGACTACTAGCGCTACACCACGGTCTTCCCCTTGCGCACCAAGGGTGAGGTCCCTGATGTTTTGATCCCTTGGATCCGCAGAGCTCGTCTCCAGCTCAGCGAGCGTTTCTGCTCGGACTTTCCTGTCCTGCGCTTGCACTCTGACAGAGGTGGTGAGTTCTCCTCCGACCTCTTGGCAGCCTACTGTGCTGAGCACGGCATTGAGCAGTCGTTCACGCTTCCGGCCTCTCCACAGCAGAATGGGGTTGCGGAGAGCCGCATTGGCCTGGTCATGGAGGTCGCTCGTACCTCCTTGATCCATGCGGCTGCCCCCCAGTTTCTGTGGCCGTTTGCGGTCCGGTACGCTGCGCATCAGCTCAACCTCTGGCCCCGTGTCTCCTTGCCGGAGACCTCGCCCACACTACTGTGGACGGGGGAGGTTGGCGATGCGTCGCGTTTCCGGGTCTGGGGATCTCGAGCTTTTGTTCGCGATTCGTCTGCGGACAAGCTCTCCTCTCGTGCTGTTCCCTGCGTCTTCCTTGGATTTGTTCCGGACGCACCTGGTTGGCAGTTTTACCACGCCACCTCGCGCCGGGTCTTGCCCTCTCAGGACGTCACTTTTGACGAGTCTGTCCCCTACTACCGCCTCTTCCCCTACCGCACTGCCCCGCTCCCACCCCCGCCTCTCTTCCTCGCGCCAGGTGCTGCTGTCGTAGACCCCCTCCCCCCTTAGGGTGCCGCTCCCTCAGGTGTGTCTCAGGTAGACCCGGTCGAGCCTGTTGAGGTTAATGTCGACTCTCGTCCTGCTGGGGGTGCTGAGCCTGGGGGTACGGACGCTGGGGGTGCTGAGCCTCGGGGTGCGGACACTGGAGGTGCTGGGCCTGGGGGTGTGGACTCTGGGGGTGCTGAGCCTGGGGGTGCTGACTCTGGGGGTGCTGAGCCTGGGGGTGCGGACACTGGGGGTGCTGAGCCTGGGGGTGCTGTGCCTGGGGGTGCTGAGCCTGGGGGTGCGGTGACTGGGGGTGCTGAGCCTGGCGGTACTGCGCCAGGGGGTCCTACGCCTGGCCGAGACCTCTATTCGGAGCAGTTGCGTGAGTGGTACTTACAGTACTACAGCCTCCGGGGAGGTACCTCTGGGACCAGGCGCTACGGAGACTTGTGCTGGCACTTCTCCTTCTAGTCGGGAGCTCCCCTCTCGTGAGCGGATCCGTGAGTGGTACGAGCGCCGTTGCACACTTCGTAGTGGCGCGCCTAGTCTCACGGACCCTGCTGCTGCTGGTGCTACGGACCCGGGCGTTGGAGCTGCTGCTGGTGCTGCGGACCCGGGCGTTGGAGATGCTGCTGGTGCTGAGGACCCGGGCGTTGGAGCTGCTGCTGGTACTGCGGACCCGGGCGTTGGAGCTGCTGCTGGTGCTGCGGACCCGGGCGTTGGAGCTGCTGCTGGTGCTGAGGACCCGGGCGTTGGAGCTGCTCCTGGTACTGCGGACCCGGGCGTTGGAGCTGCTGCTGGTGCTGAGGACCCGGGCGTTGGAGCTGCTGCTGGTGCTGAGGACCCGGGCGTTGGAGCTGTGACTGGTGCTGAGGACCCTGGTGTTGGAGTCCCTGCTGGTGCTGCGGACTCGGGCGTTGGTACTGCCGCAAGGGGCATTGGTGCTGTCCCTGCTGTGTCTGGAGTCGCCGCGCGCCCTCAGCTGTACTTCGTTCCGCTCCTTCAGCAGGTTCTTGGTCTCTCGCCTCCTCCTGGTCCTCCTCCTCCTTTAGTGTGTCCACAGCCTGTCCAGTCACTGCTTGCTCCTTCTCCTTACTCTGGTCCTACTGTCCGTCTTACTGTGCGTCGTGAGCCTGCGTCTCGCCCTGCGTCGCCTGTCCGTCCTGCTAGCACTAGTGCTCGTAGTTCGCGTCCACGTCCTCCTCCTGCCCCTGGCACGCACCGGATGTCTCTGCGTCCTTCCACTGCTCCTCTGCGTGCCCCTTTGCCTTCTCCTCCTGCTTCCTCTCTTCCTGCTCTTGTCGACCCTACGGCGGACTCTCTTCGTGCTGCCAGTCCTACTGTCACGCGTCTCCTTGCTACTGCCGTCACTGACCCTTCTTTCGAGTCTTCTGCTGCGTCTGCCCTAGTTGCTGAGCTCGTCGACTTTGCTGCTCGCTGTCGTCTAGACTACGCTGCTAGTCTTGTCGCTGAGTCTGAGTCTGTCTGTCCTCCGTCCGTCGGGGGTGAGTGTGCCCTTGGCACGGACGTCTTTGAGGACAGGCAGGAGGAGTTTCAGTGCTTGGCTGCCGCTTCACCTCATCTCGCGTCTGTACTGCTAGCCCCTGAGGGAGACCCGGATGCACTAGACATCCCGACTCCGCGCTCTTACGCGGAGGCGATAGAGGGTCCCTACTCCTCTTAGTGGCAGGCAGCTATGGATTCAGAGATGGGCTACCCCACTAAAGCCTAGACAATATTATAATTTGACAGGCTTCGCGAGGCTCCCGCGGGCTTGGTGTGGCCCTGTTCCTCTCCATGTCAGGCATTGATTGAGCGGCGCCATCACTGGCTGCGCCTGAGCGCTGTCCCACGCTGTCGCTTTGTGTTGGTGTGCCTGATGAGATGACGATCGGCTCCTTCGACTGTGCGGGTGCATTTGCAGGTGCGTGTGGTGGTGCTCGAGCTTCACCGTGGATTGTTGACGAGCAGAGTCACGTTCCGCTTTGAGTGTAGCAATTTCGAGCACCGAATCTTCGATTTGGCGCACGATACGGTTGAGTTGCTCCTGCGTCAGTGTCGCGAGAGTGAATTCGGCCATGGCGGGGGTGTCGGGCAAGCTCATCGAGAGCCTCTGTCGTGGGCGTGCGTGCTTACGAGAGAGCACTTCGAACGGCAGTGCTTATTTCGCTGAAAGACGTCTACCCCCTCCAAAGGTGTGGGTGCGGTTTGAGAAGAGATCGTAGGCTCTGAATACCAAGTATTACGAGTGCAATTGAGTGAGCGAGCGAGAATTGCACTATCGAAGCAAGAATACTATGAGTGAAGGCATGAGCGAATAATATATAGTGAATCTACCGTGGTAACGGTAATGTGTGGAAAATCGGGTGCGCGACGGGCCTAGCGCCGAGGTCGGGAATTGTCGAGGCGGAGGTCCGGAGCGCGGATTACCAACCGAACCGTGAGGTTGGGTCGCGTCGTGAACATTGGCAGGAATAGTGTCGAGGCGAGTGTCGCGAGTGGTAACGGATTACTGTTGGGTGCTGTTGGCGGGAACAGTGGTGTACACGCTGAGTAGGGACGCGAAGTAAGGAAAATGAATATTCCTTACATTCTGACGCATTGGGCGGGTTCAGAACAGGGCTGACGTTTCAAATTTAGGTACCCTGAGTTCAACCAAAAAAAAAAAACCCTGAAGGCACATTTTCCAGAAAAACAGCACCCTGATTGCTCAGGGTTGAGAAGTAGTGAACTCTGAATGTTCAGGGTCGAGAATTGAAAATCAGGGTCGTAGTAACGCGCTCTTTCTTTACCGGGAACTGAAGTCTCACTCAATCAGAAGTCTCATTCTTTACCCTAATCGCAACATCTGCTCGAAATTTGACAGTCTACGGGGATTTCAGGCAGAATCTGCCTTGACCTAGCGCAAAAGGGATTTCTATACGGAGCAGAGGTCGAATCTGCTGTTGGTGTCGCAAGGGTGACTGTGACTGGCGCTGTGACTGGCGCGCTGTGACTTGCGATGTGACTGGCAATGTGACTGGCACTGTGGCGATGTGACTGGCACTGTGGCGATGTGACTTGCGATGTGACTGGCGCTGTGTCAGAACACAACTATTTCAACCAAGGCTGCGTTCTGTGGGCGCATCAGCCCGCATCAATGTACATTGATGCATTTTACCACGGTTCCAAGATACTTCCGTGATAACTGCCGACAGGTTATCAAGGTTCGAGATAGCGCATGGCTCCTAAGCGAAACAAACCCGAATGCCTGCAGAACGGCCTTTTCGGCGACCAAAATTTAACACGTCACCGATTTACGAGAAAATTCTCATCCTAGCAATCTGGCGCATCATCGATCCGCGCATCATGCAACTCCGAGAAGTCGCATGATGCGCGCACAGGTGGTGCGGAGCACCCTCATTCGTCAATTTGTTTCTTCCTAAACCCTCATTGGTTGGCACCATTAGAAAATTTGCGGTCTAACTTCCTAGAAACCCATAAATTTTTGGAAAATTGAGGAAATTGGATGTCGAGATCTTACATGTCCTAATTCGAGGTTCGGACGAGATTCGGAAAATTGGAAATAAGAGATTTTGGGGACCTTGTCCGAACCTCGTCCAAACCTTAATTTATCGATTTCAATTTTGTCAGTTCCGAACCTCAATTTCTCAATGTGCGCATCACCCCGAGCCTCAGACGCATCAGAGCTGATGCGCCCACAGAACGCAACCAATAACAGCAACCTAAAATCTGACATTATAGATTCGTCCGATCTCGATGATGGGTGTATGGGAACGAAACTTCGAAGAAACTTCGTCTCGATAAAGCGAGGGGTGGGGGGGGTTACGCACGTGGGGGGCACTGAAATCAATCTGAAGGCGAGGTTATCAGGAGGAAATTTCCGAGAAACTTCGTCCCAATAACATCGCATTCAGGGTCCACAGGCCTCGTACTCTGTATTGACAGGGTCCGTGGAAACCCTACACTGAGAGTATACACAAAATTTCAGGGTCCGTTTAAGCAATACTCTGAATGGATCAGGGACCAAAATGTGAAAAAACCTGATTTCTCATGGTACATTCCGCTGTGGAACATGTCCCGATCGATATGTCCCAATCGATTTTAGCCCGAGTCGCGCTCAAATATTTCGAGTCTGCATGTCCCAATCGATCGATGTATTGCGACTCTGCACAGACGCGCGACAATTACATGCGATCGACGGTGATTGGTCAGGGAACAATTTGACCCACTCGTCCTTGCGCAGCACATTCACCGACGCCTGTCAATAATTTCGGGAGTGTCCAATCGACCAATCACGAACCTGTGTACACGTTGTTGGGGATTAGGGGGTTTTTCCAATATGGTCCAGATACATGCTGCATGAGTTGTCATTTGGCACCGCGTGCGACTGCTGGGGTGTGTTGCAATTAGCTGTCAGTAGATCTGCACCGTGGATGCCCGATTGATCCTACGGGGGGTTACAGGCGCGTTTGCCTGGGGGGTTATGGGCGCACTCTGACCCGCTACTTAACAAGCCCTTTTATCCCAGTGGTCTAGTGGTTGGGATTCTGACATGCTATCAGAGCGGTCTCGGGTTCGAATCGCGGTGTATGCACATGTTGGCCGTTGCCACTGTGCTCAGTCCTGGGCCTCCCGGTGTGGGGGGGTGTCAGTAGAGCTACACTGTGAGATCCCCGATCGATCCTAGGGGGGGTTACAGGCGCGTTTGTCTGGGGGGTTATGGGCGCACTGACCCGCTACTGAAACAAGCCCTTCTATCCCAATGGTCTAGTGACTGGGATTCTGACATTAGCTGGCGAATGTTCCGTGTTTCACATCACCCAATGATAAATACATTTGGCGACAACGACGGGCGGCCCGGCATTCTGACACCTGGCAGCATATGATGTACGTACACGTCCCAATCGATTGGGACACATCGATTGGGACATGGTTCACAGCGGAATGTACCCTTGGGGTCCAGAAAGTGACAAGTCTGAAATCACCCTGAAATCAGGGTAATTACCCAGATAAAATCAACC